GGCTGAAAAGCATTTCTCACACTCCGAACAAAAATATATTTTTTAACATTCTCTCCACTTTGAACGAAATGACGTTTGGGAAGAGATTAACATAATTAAACACAGGCAGTAAAAATACAGTTTTTAGCCATACCCTGTAACTTTAAAACTACACATCCCATCTTCATAATTACATATTTGGAATCAGCACACTTAAAACATAAACATAACAAAAAATCAGCCAAATCCATCCAGGGGTTAAAAAGTTAGCTGGAGGTCCCTTTATGACCGACCGCAAGCACATTTTCCTGCCCAAAACAGTTCCATAGATTTGGGCTGTGAGGTTGGTCTATTTCAGGCTGAAAAAACGACTAAGTCCCATCGCCGAATGGGACTTAGTCTCTGCAGCTGAAATAATTTCCCATTTACTGAACCAAGTGGGAAATAGCAAGGCAGGCACAAAGGGTTTGCACCAGGTCTGGGGACACAGGGGACACCGTCTTAAAGGGGCCGTGTCCCCAACAAGTCTGGGGACACGGCCTTAAAGGGGCAGTGTCCCAATCTTCCTGATGTCCCAAAGAAGGTGTTTAAAGGGCCAGCACCAGTCACATAAAGAGTCCATAAGCCCCAATATGCCCACCGACAGTCTTAAAGGGCCATACACACCAAATAAAAGTGCATACATTTTCACAATCTCCCAGGGGCCATAGTCATGCGGGAGGAGGCTGGCAAGTAGGCTTCTCCACAACCCAGGGAAGCAGGGCAATTTGCCATTTAAAGGGCCCGTTACAAATAGCAGTTTGTAACAAGGTGTCAATCCATATCTGCCAAGTGACCCGATGTAGGGGGACCAGTCCCTATTCTGCTCTGTGTCAGTGTGTACCAGGGAACCTTAGGGCAGGTGTCAATCCATATCTGCCAAGTGACCCGATGTAGGGGGAACAGTCCCTATTCTGCTCTGTGTCAGTGTGTATCAGGGATCCTTAGGACAGGTGTCAATCCATATCTGCCAAGTGACCCTATGTAGGGGGACCAGTCTCTATTCTGCTCTGTGTCCGTGTGCATCAGGGGCTCTGAGGACAGGTGTCAATCCATATGTCAAGGTGTCAATATGTCATATGTCAGGTGTCAATCCATATTGATTGTGATTTAGGAATGTTAGGTGATTTCTGCCCTTTATGGATTAAAACCAGACTCTGTATCAACTGTGTAATTTTCCATGGGAGTTTTGCCATGGATCCCCCTCCGGCATGCCACAGTCCAGGTGTTAGTCCCCTTGAAACAACTTTTCCATCCCTATTGTGGCCAGAAAGAGTCCCTGTGTGTTTTAAAATTCGCCTCCCCATTGAAGTCAATGGCGTTTCGGGCGGTTCGCCGTTTCGCGACCATTTGCGGAAGTTCGCGTTCGCCGTTCGCGAACCGAAAATTTCGGGTTCGCGACATCACTAGTGACAACAGATATGAGTGGCACTGTGCAGTGGCAGAAGTTGGCAGAGTAGACGCTGTATGCCTGACACACACGCTTGCAGACAACTAACTGCTATTAAATCTATTACAGTCAAATTTTTTTTTTTTTTTTTTAAATGTACACTACTGTTACACCAGATATGAGTTGCACTGGTGTGACACTGTGTCCTGACAGGCCCTGAAACGCACAGGCTTGAAGGAAACTGACTGCTATTTTATTACAGTCCAAAAAGTTTTTTTTTTTTTTTAAATGCAAGCTATTGGGACCACCAGTGAGTGAGTGGTGGCACTGGGCAGGCCCTGAAACACCTCCCTGGCGAAGATAAAAGCAAGTTCCTTGGATGAGGGCAATTTGACAAGAGACACAAAATGAGCCATCTTAGAAAATTGATCCACTATCATCAGGATGACTGTTTTGCCATTCGAAGGAGGCAATTCAGCAATGAAATCCATGGATAGATTGGACCAAGGCCTCTGGAGTATGGGTAATCGGTGATATACTTGCGTAAAGAAGCCCACCAAAAATATCTAGAAACTGCTGTTAAGGTATTAGAAACACCAGGATGTCCAGCAGTTTTGGTGTCATGATATAACAACATAATGTCCCGTCTTTCGGGAACATCAACAAACAGTTTATCAGTAGGTTTCTCACTGGGTGCCATGTTTTGTTTAGCCTGTATAACTTGTAAGAGTGAAGAAGAAATAGATAGAACCGTAGTAGCTATTATTCTGTCCGGGGGAATGACAGGGGTATTATGAAACTCTTGTTTGTCGGTAGTTTCAAATTGTCTAGACAGAGCGTCAGCTTTAGTGTTACGATCACCTGGTCTGTAGGTGATGATATAATTGAAATGAGATAAGAACAGTGACCACCTGGTCTGCCTAGAAGACAATCTTTTGGCTTCACTAAGGTAGGAAAGGTTTTTGTGATCCATAAAAATGAGGATGGGGTCCTTAGTACCTTCTAAAAGATGTCTCCACTCCTTGAGTGCTAAAACAATAGCAAGGAGTTCTTGATTGCCTATGCCATAGTTATTTTCGGCTTTGGACATCTGTTTGGAAAAGAAGCCACAAGGATGTAATGGCTTATCAGGTGATTCTCTTTGAGATAAGACAGCACCTACCCCAATATCCGAAGCATCAACTTCAAGAATATAAGGCAAAGAAGGGACAGGATGCTGTAAAATAGGAGCAGAGGCAAACGCGGTTTTAAGAAATTCAAAGGCCCCAAGCGCCTCTGGGGGCCAGACACGAGTATCGCCATCCTTTTTAGTCATGCGTGTTATAGGCGCTACAATAGAAGAAAATCCTTTAATAAAGCGTCTATAATAGTTAGAAAACCCAAGAAAATGCTTAATGGCTTTCAGACCCTGAGGTAAAGGCCATTCCATGACAGCAGAAAGCTTCTGGGGATCCATACAAAAACCTTTAGCAGAAATTACATAACCTAAAAACTGTACTTCGGATTGGTCAAATAAACATTTTTCTAGTTTACAATAAAGACCATTAACAAGAAGGGTTTAAGACTGTTTTAACATGCATGTGATGGGTATGTAAATCTGTTGAATATATTAATATGTCGTCCAAGTACACTATCACAAATGAGTGAATGAACTCTCGTAAGACGTTATTAATAAATTCTTGAAACACTGCTGGGGCGTTACAAAGACCGAATGGCATCACAGTATACTCGTAATGACCACTCCTAGTATTGAATGCAGTTTTCCACTCATGCCCCTTTTTTATACGTATGAGATTGTATGCACCTCTAAGGTCCAATTTAGTAAACACGGTAGCTTGTTTAAGCCTGTTGAATAATTCCGTGATTAATGTTATAGGGTAAGCATTTTTTATAGTGATATTATTTAGGCCCCTATAATCAACACAAGGTCTTAAATCGCCCTCCTTCTTCGACACAAAGAAGAACCCTGCCCCTGCCGGAGAAGAGGATTTCCTTGTAAATCCCTTTTGTAGAGATTTTTTAATATATTCCTCCATGACACGATTTTCTTGCGGAGACAAAGGATACACCCTGCCTTTGGGGGGTATAGTGCCAGGCAATATATCAATAGCACAATCGTAGGGTCTATGAGGCAGTAATTTTTCAGCCTCCCTCTTATCGAAGACAGACTTAAGACACATGTACTGAAGAGGTATAACAGTAGACAAAGGAGGAGTAGTAGGAACATTAATAGAATTCAAAGGGGTGATTTTAATTATACAAGACTCTTGGCAGGTTTCACTCCAAGATACTATTTGTCCTGACTCCCAGTCAAAATTGGGATTGTGAGAACGTAACCATGGGTACCCTAACACAATGTGAGAGGAAGGAGAGGTGATGACTTGAAACCGAATGGCTTCTGAGTGTAACATCCCTGTATACATATGCAATGGTTCAGTTTCATGTGTGATAACTGGGGAGCATAATGGTCTACCATCTATGGCCTCAACGGCCATGGGTGTCTTCTTCTCTCTAATGGGTATTTTGTTTTTTCTAACAAATCTAGAGTCTATGAAATTCTCAGATGCCCCAAAATCAACCAGGGCTAGTATGTTTCTCCAGATGCAGAGAAACAGGGAGAAGTAGTTGATTAAGAGGCAATTTTGGGGACTTAGATATCACACCCAAGGCCAGTCCCCTATATGGCCTTAGGTGCGATAGTTTTCCGGAAGCACGGGACATTCTTTTAGCATATGACCCTTCTTACCACAGTATAGGCAAAGTCCCTCCTTTCTCCTATACAATTTTTCAGCTAGTCCTTCCACGAATGCTGTAGTTAGCCCATTGTTGGTCCAATCTACTTGTGAAGCAAGGGTACAAAACTGAATAGCATAATCAGCAACAGACCTAGAACCCTGTTTAATTCTCATTAATGCCCTGGCGGCATTCTTTGACCTTTTAGTTGTGTCAAAGGTTCTATGAAAAGCCGTAAGGAAGCTATCGAAATTATGCACCATAGGTCCATTAGCCTCCCAAATAGGATTTGCCCACTCAAGTAAGTTGGTGCATAAAGAATCCCACTTTAGACCTGTCAGTGGGAAAGGAACGTGGATACATCTCAAAGTGGAATTCCACTTGATTAATAAATCCCCTGAAAGACTTAGCATCCCCTCCATACCTGGGTGGAGGGGTTAAATGTGCAGAAGCGTTAGGCATGGTGGATACATCTGGAACAAGGGGTGCAGGAGGAGTTGGTACGGATACCGGAGTTGTTCTAGATAAGAGTGTCTGGAGGGCCTGAGCTATCTGATCCATATGGTGATCCTGCTCTGTAACTCTAGCCTCATGAGAAGCCAATTTCTGACTTAAATCTGCGGGGTCCATGGCCCTATCGTAATGTCACGGTAGTTTACCCCTACACGCAAGATTTAGAGCAGATACGACTTACCGGACCTTAGAATGGCCGGACTCGCCGTACAGCAGAGAATAGACAGAGTCAAGAACAAGCCGAGGTCAAGGGAACAAAGAGACTGTGAGAACAAAAACTAGCCAAGGTCTGGTACACAGTAGTCAGTAAGCCGGCAAACAAGACAAAACAGGGATAGAGAGATAAATAGAGTCAGATACAAAGCCAAGATCAAGCACGAAAATCACAACTGAACACAACAAGCACTAAAGGGAACTGAAACAGAAACCACGATAGGGCAGGGAGTTAAGGGAGAGGTAAGTATAAATACCCTAAACTTTACTTTGATTGGCCCCTGTCATATCCACGCCCCCAAAATGTGAGTGTCTGGGGAATGTGGGATGACAAGGGCCAATGGGAGTACATTTTATTTTTTGGCTCCCACTGCCCCTTTAAGAGAGTGCCCAAGACGCACGGCACACTCTTAGAGCTAGGCAGGACACGTGACCGCATCTCGGGGTCCGTGCCCGCCTTCATTCGAGAGCCCCCCGCGGCGGGAAGAGAGGACCTTGGCCGGCCCCCGGGTAAGGTAAGTACCGCTACACAGACAACCCCAGAACTAAGATGCAGGTATTGTTTTTTCTAGGGACAACAGGGTACTATAGAAAATGTATGCCCAATTATAGCACCCTGGCCAAACCCCTTACTGACCTTACCCATATGAACCTGTCCCGCCAAGTCGCCTGTACCCCGGAGTGTGAGCAGGCATTCCACCAATTGAAAAAATGCACTTATAAATGCCCCTGTCTTGGCAGCTCCCAATCCAACTAAACATTTTCTTGTCCATACAGACGCTTCTATGTTTGGATTGGGGGTACTACTGAGCCAGGTGGGGCCCAATGGCGGAGAACATCCTGTGGCTTACATCAGTCGGAAGCTGTTAACTAGAGAAGTAAGCTACACCACCATCGAAAATGAATGTCTGGCCATGGTGTGGGCCCTCAAAAAGTTGCAACCCTATTTATATGGACAGTCCTTCTCTTTGCTCCTGGATCACAACCTGTTGTTCTGGTTGAACCGGGTGGCAGGGGACAACGCCAGGCTGCTGTGCTTGAGCTTGGCGTTGCAGCCATTTGACTTCATGATTCAGTACCACCCAAAACGAAAAAGCTGACGGGTTGTCGAGACAAACTAAATTGGAGAAATGACCTGTGAGCAACCCTGGACATCCCCAAGCTGATTCGTTAAGGATTAGACTGTTTATGCCGGCTTGTGGGAGCAGTGTAGCGGAATGGGCTTTGCCACAGTACCCCTCTTTGTACTAGGGGTTGTCCATACCCCTTATGGGCCTTTATTTTCCAGTGTTGCAACTGTTTGTTACTTGGGGAAACAAGTAACAAATTATTATACTGTGTCCTTTTGTCTGGTTGTTCGGTATTATCTCTACTTCAGCTGACTTTCCCTATATGATTCGACAAAGGAACTAAGTACCGAACCACTAGGTCACCCATGTGCGGAGCGTGGCACCAATTGACCTCCTAACCCTGTTCACACTCTCTTAATTACAAACACACGAACAAACTGTGGGATCCCCTGGGTGGCCGCCATTCATATATGCGAACACGTGGTGGCGGCCATCTTAGAATACGAACTGCACTAGCTGGGTTTGGTCGTCGAGTGTCTGGAACTCAAATTGGACACTCGACAGCACGAACACAGCAGAGACTTCCATCCTTGTGTAAGTTTGTGTAAACTCGGTGGAACAGAGTGGCATTCAGTGAAAAGAACAACGTGAACAAAGGGATTTCAACAAACTAAGGCACGGACCAATTTTATAAGCAATTTCCTGTAATTCAAACTCTCAAACATAGACCGATCGCACAGCCCAGATGCATGGAACTATTTTCGGCCTACACCTTGTGTGCGGTCGGTAAAACTAAGACCTCCATAGAATTGACCAACCCCTGAACCAATCTGGGTGATTTTTTAGTATGTTGCTCCCCTAAATTGGGGCTATTAGGGGATGTCATAATTGTAGGAGTAGGATAGGTATTTATGGTACTTCTGAAAATGTGGGGAAAAAAATATTGTTTTTCATTTGGAGATAATTGAGTTGATACAGTAATTAACTCAAGTATCTCCTAAGCAGAGGGGAGGGATTGTGTGGAATGTATGGGAGGTACTCATTACCGGACTCTGTGTTTATTGGTTGTTTACTGCTTTTACCTGTGCCTAACAAGGTCCACCTGGGTGGTAACCTTGTGGGAAAAAACAGCATAAAAGGCCAGCATGGATCATTAAAGATCAGTTCAGCATCTTAAATACGGAGTGTCGTCCAGTTATTAGGAAGGGTGATGGGAGAATTGTGTAATATTCTGCTTCTATGCATGTATTCCTGAAGAATCCAGCTTGTTCCTGAGTAACTATTGGAGTACCAGTGCAGAAGAGTCCCTGTTGACTAGTGCTACGCTACAGCCACGCTGCTCCCTTCATCAGGTTGTGCAAGTAGAAATCCTTGTGCAGCTGCATGGCTTACCCTCTCTGGTCGCATGGCCCGAACGCTTCACGTGGCCATGTGACTTGGTAACTGGGAAAATGGTTAACTTACCACTCTGCTCTGCGAATAGCTCATGGAGTCAACATGGAGTAGTAGTGGAGTTGGATCAATCAGTCAGATTGTTGACCAATCAGAAATTGTGTTAACCTCTATAACGTTAAATCATGGTTTCTGTCCTGATACACCATAGTGCTTATAGGAAGTATCACTTGTGATATTGTATTATTGACCTATTGTGATATTGTACTATTTGACTTTGTGTAATTCTGATATCCTGACCCGGCTTGTTTCTGACCTTGAGTATTTCTAGTATCCTGAACTGGCTTGTTATACTGTTTTTCCACATTTCTGTTTCCCTGACCTTGGCTATTACTGACTCTGTCTTTATTTTCATTAATGTTAATTCCGGTCAATCTAAGGCTTGGATATACATTTGTATGCACACTAGGCACATACTGCCTCCTCCATACACACAATGCATCCCTCACACATACACGATTCATGCTCCATATACACACTACATCAATCATACACACACTGCATCCCTTACACACACAGACACTACATCCACCACACACACACACTGCAACCCTTACACACACTACATCCTCCATACACACACACACTACATCTATTACACATACATTAAATCCTCCATACAGACACCCTGCATCACTTGCACACACAGCCTACTTTACACACACACACACACACTGCATCCTTTACATACACATACTACATTATCAAATACACATTCAGCAACCCTCACATGCAATCACACTGCATCCCTCATACACACACACAGTGCATCTTTTAAACATACACCACATTCTTAACACTTACACACTGTATCCACTACACTCACACACACTATATCTTTTATACATACACACACACTGCATTCTCTAAATACACACACTGCATATGCAATACATATACACTGCATGCCTTGCACACAAAATTACAATTATGTACATAGCACCAACATCAACAACAGCACTGTACAATAAGAAACAAAACAGACATTTAATTCAAAACATGTATAACATACAGGAACAGTAGATGAAGAGGGCCCTTCCCAAACTAGCTTCCAATCTACATACAGTATCTCACAAAAACGAGTACACCCCTCACATTTTTTTGTAAATTTTTTATTATATTTTTTCATGTAAAACGAAATGTAGAGTATTTTTTGACTGGAAAAGTAAACCACATCAAAATATATCCACTGGAGCGCTGATATTTAACACTTACCCTTAAATAGGGGAGCATTAAGTATACCAAATGTCTAAAAAAAAAAAAGGAGAAACAAAACAGAAAAAATCTAGTGTGGTATATCTAGACTGCTAGATTGATTGCAACTCACTCACATGGCTTAGAGCCTGGGGGGGATAGGCTCAGATCACAAGCGTATGGGTATTCAGAGATAATACCAAACTTCTTCTATTTGAAGATCAAAATGCTCAGAGGAAAAAGAGAAACAGACAAGACAGATATCTGGTGTATTATATATAGAATGATGCAGGTCACTGCTCACCTTATTGAGAGCCAAAATACTGGACTCTCATTGATATGCGCACTGTGCCTTTAAGAGAGCACCACTTAGATAAAGTAAAACAATTTATTTAGCCAAAATAGTTAAAAATAAAGCAAACAAATTAAAATGCCACAAGTTGGTAGTCCCAACATGAAGTTCTTGCCGCCCGAGACGCGTTTCACCTTATTCAAAGGCTTTTTCAATTGGATTCCTGTTCTTCGTGCGCTTTCCAGGTTTATATGTGAAGGCTCAGCTGATGGTAGTTTCCTCATACACGGAAGTGACATATCTGGAATCTGATGACATCACTTTCGATTCTGCCAAATTACCATTTTTTTTTTTGTATTAGCAACTGCCCCATTTGTCCACGCATAACTGCATCATGGACAGGTTTTTCACAATGTCCATTATGGTCGGTTGAGGTTTTGGTGCATTAAGAAGCCAAGGAGAGTATTGACAACTGGTTTCTTGGATGTAACTGTTAACATCCACTTTCTTAAAGAAAGTACTGGTCTTTATATTATTATCTTCAATATAAATGTTTAAATCCATAAATTTTTACTGCAATTTTTTGTAAGTTTTATACCCCAGTCATTATTCTCTAGGTGTCTAAAAAAGAGATCCAAAGATACACTATTCCCCTTTCAAATGAAAAAAAAAAATATATATATATATATATATATATATATATATATTTTGTGTATATCACGGCGATAGGTCACCAGGCTTGCACCCCGTCTTTGATCTTCAAAAATAAATTTATGTTCCC